CAAACTTTTTCAATCCAGTTAATCCGTTTGTCCAATTTACAAATGAAAATGTGTACGAACTACATATGTTCACATATGCAAATTCGTAGTGTTTGATTAGCGGGCAGTGTTAGCATAGGAGAGGGAGAGTGAGCGAAGATATGAAAGGAGACGACAGCTGCAAATCATGTGTTACACAAAGTGATAAACAAATTGAAAATTTTCATATTAACTTTTCATTCCAAATATATCTAAATCTGCATTTCAACACTTCTTCACAACCGCCTTAATATATATATTAATACATGGTTGTTTGCCTTCCGGTAGGACTTCACAGTCAAGCAGTCATTCACCGTTCGCAAGAGAAAACCTTTCACGTGAAGATGAATTTTTTCACAGATCAAATTCTTAGTGAGTGTCATTTTTGGAAGCGATAAACAAACATGGATGTCAGGAACGTTGAGATATATCTCAAATGATTATTTCCGATATATTTTTGATGCTAATTGAAATATAAAGTAAATAATAATTGAGGATTTCAAAACGCGAGCATTTCTTTATGCGTGAAAAATAATGATGAGTTACGTAGAAAGACTAAAGCAGAGATAAATTCACTTTAGTTAACGTACCTCCTGATTGAAACAAAATGTGTAAACTATTTATCATATCAGTTGCTAATACTTGTTCCGTCAAATGCTTTTTTGATATACTCTAATAATTCTAAACTTTAAAGCAATCGTCTACAGGGCATTCTCTCGAAATCTTAAAACTGCTAGAAATATATTCCATGGTCCTTTCGTATAGAGAAAAAGTTTTTATACTCAACAAAGAAGTAAAACAAAGGATGGCAAGTAAATTTCTCGGAGAACTCAGATTTTTTTTTAATTTGAAATTGAAAAAATTTCTGTCACTTTAATAAATGTTTACATATATTCCAAAAAATCTGCTAACATTCTGCCAATGTTTCTGGATTTGTGGTAGACAAGTACTGAATTCAATGCATCAGTGCATTGTGTATTTAGATGCAAAGCGATAAGCCAAGAATTGGTTCAGAAACAGCGAAGCTTCCGCCTCCAGAAGGCTTACTTAAGGTCTCCTTTCCTCGAGATGTAAGAAAACTTCCAGAAAAGGTAACAAAAAGATAATTAAACTGGAAACAAACAGTAAAACTAGTGTAATCATTTGCAAAATTTCAAGAAAAAAATGTTAACAAGGACTGATCTACGGTCGAATCTGAGATCAAAGTACTAAGTGACACTTAAAGAGGAATGGAGAAGGAGACGATTTGCTACATAACCTGCACAGAACAGCTATCCCGGGTGATTAAGATTAAAAATACAGTTAAGAATTAGCAAATACTAAGTGCATAAGAGAAAGAATGTCACCTTTCCGAGTACTATTAACTATTACCGAAAATTTAATTGTCGGTTCTTTTCTATTGTCAATTTCTAATAAAATTTGTTGCTAACACTTAAGCAATCCTTGCAATACTGTCCAGTTGAGCGCCAGGAGGAATGATTAGAATGAATAGGATAGTTATTGGTGACAAGCAGATGTGTCGAACAAATTTGGAATGCTCTGAATTTGATCGATGGAATAAGTCGGTAGGTTCAAAATGCCTAAGACTGGATCAAATTAGAGGAGTAACCGAGCTGCCTCTTTCTGTCGTGTCTTCCCTACCTGTCTAATGAATATTTCGGAGGTGAAAGTTTTATGAATACTTTCTTACCTAAGAAGCATGTCAGTTTTATTTCACCGTTGAGCAAAAGACAGAGTGACTGAAATAATTTTCAAATTAAGTTTTTTGAAAAAGGCAAAGGACTGTTCATTGCCCAGCAGACGCACAAACAGAAGAGAGGAGACCCATCCTGACTAACTTCTTTTTCCTGAGGTAGATACTATTTTAATTTAATGATTTGTAAGGAATCCAATGAATTTAATTTAAAAGCACTTTCCATTCTTATTCTTCTGAATCTATTTTACCGTTGGGTCCTTTAATTTTATGGCATTGTCCGACAATTGATTCGCTTCCATCCAAACAGTTCTACGCTAAACGGAATGAGAGCTAATGATATTCAATTCCTTTTGGTTTCTGAACTCTTCTTTGTTTAAGATTAATTGGAATTCGTAAGAATAAGTGAAAAATATGAAATATGTATAAAAGAGAAAAATTAGCTTCAACTGCTGTATTAACTTAAGTATGGTTTGAATTCTACACAGTGAGATAAAGTTGTCGCAAGTATGAATTTAATTTTAAAATATATTTAATACCAGAAAATTCTTTTCTTCCATGCTTTGTTCCCAAATATGATTATTTGCCTTACGGAGGATACTGAACTTACTGTATTGTTCTCTGCCAATTTGATTTTAATTTCAATCCCATTTTATTGCCACAAAATCCTTTAATTTCATTTTTGTTCCACTTTCTTCCTTTTCCAATCTCACCTCGCCTAAAGCCAATAGCTTCAAAATCTCGTTGCTTTTTCAAATAAGACTTGCAAAAAGATTTTTGCAATACGGTTTACATTAAGTAATTGAAAAAATGACTTCAATTTGTTACTCCGAGGAAGGAATTCTTCAAATTAATGAATGTATTTGATTAAAATAGATACTTTCTCTCCAGCTAATGGAAGGAAATTTACATTGATTGTTTGAGAATTTTTGATCAATAAACTTAGACAATGCAATGTGATCTTATAATTTCGATTGTAATATGTAGTTAAAAAAATAAGGAACATGAGAAAAAGAAAGAAAATAAAGATAGAATATCTCGCAATTTCTCTAAATTGCTTGAAAATGTCTGATGATTGGCGCAGATTCCAAGATTAATACCTAAAATAAAAATTCGGCAGTATGACTCTCTCACCATTCCTATTAAATTGAAATTGATTACAGTGTCGTGACGCAAAAGTTGCGGCTTCCCTTTAATCACGAGTGTGCAGCAAAGAAGTGATCAATTTACAAAGTCATAAAGTTGGGGATTTTTTTCTGAAAAGTTTAAATTTATAATTCTGAACAAATTGCAAATTACAGCTCTCGAGAAATCTGGAGTAAATGGATAGTTTCTTTTTCAACAACAATTACCAAGTATGACTCAACGAGAGAAAACAGACCTTAGTGGACAATGTGGTCAGTGCTTTTAGAAAACACTAATAAAAGTCACTAGAGAGGAAAGTGAGGGGACAAAGGGCATTACTTTTCTCTCTAACTGCATCGGTTTTGCGATCTTGAAACTAATTTCCAAACTAAGATCCTATCTACAAACTTCATTCAGTTCATACTATACTCCTAACTTCCTATGATTATATTCTGAGATCATATTCTGACGATCTTATCAATAAAGGAATATATCTAATAAAGTTTCCTCTAGTTCCTTAATTCTGAAATGGTGAAATGAATAAATTATGGGTCTGTAAACAGAAGATTAACTCATCTCCCTAAATTTGATTTTTTCCAAAAAAAGTAATAGAAAAAAGCAAAAAAAAATATATTTGAAAGTGATATTTTGCATAAATAGCCAAAAAGATGATGAAGAAAAGCAAGAAATATATTAGGCTACCATTTTATTCCATTAGGTGATCGAATAATCTACTCATCCAGATGAACCCACGTGTACCGCTTAAACGTATTCCATTCTGCACCGTCGTTTTCCTTCAACTTTATTCTAACAACTGAAGAGAATCATCTATCCAAAAGTTTAATGTAATGGTTAAAACAAAATTGAGCATTTGCTTGTTGACAACTGATAATACGGCGCCTACAATGATACGATTAATCGTCGTATGTCCATGCAAAGAGGCAATCGAGAGAATGAACCCGAGTGCTTCGTCTTTTCCCGGCTCTGTAAGTGACCAAAAAACTGAAACATTTCTGGAAAAGTAGATAAATCGTAATGTTGCAACCATTCCGCTTATTTATTCATTGATATTTCATCAAAAATTAGAAAATTTATGGCATAAACATTTACAGTTAAAATGTGGAAACAGAAAGTCTCATCATATCCAAAAAACAGAAAGCCTCTATAATTTTGAAGGAAATTTATAGTTTCGCTGGGAAATGACGCAAAAAGGATCGAACAGTTGCATGGAAGGAAAATTGAATATTTAAGACGTAGCCCTAGCTGTTAATCTGAATGAAAATCTAGTATAAGTAAGAAGGAGAACTGAGTTCTAGGACTGAACTGTCGGAAAGAACTTCACTGGCCTGTTTCTGGATTATAGCACTGTTCATAACGATACTTAAATTTCATCAAAAATTTTCAACTTCTTTGCCTTAAATCGTATGTAATTTATTCTGTCTGCCAATCGGTAAATAATGATTGCAATATCGAACGATTATTATTTACAGAACGATGAATCTGACTGTCGTCCGGTAAGCATTATAAGCAATCTCTCTTAATGCATTTAGGACAACTATTTAAGGGTTATTTCCAAAAGTTTCAAGGTGACACTCGATCACCTTATAACTGGCGTCCTTACTTTCCAGTAGCTCGATAGTTGGTCGCTATTGCTGGTATTCGGCAAAACGTTTGTTCTTGAATAAAAATCAGGAGCACGCTCACTAAAAACGGAGCAGTACCAAATCAGAATCCAATCTCAGCGCTACAATTCTAATTTTAATGATATATGATCTGAGCGTAAAAATGGGAAGGAATAGGAACCACAAACTTTGCGAATTTTAATTTGTTTTTAAGAATTACATGAGAAACCGGAATTCTCTCGTGTTTCCCTGCTAGTTTCAGGTTGTAAACAGATGAATACTAAATGAGAATCAATATTAAAACTTAAAAGTTCAGTCTGATTCAATAACTATGGAAGATAAGAAGGAAAGACAAAAACGAGGTTTTCTCAACATAAGTACTACTTTTCTTAAATTCGCTTCAAATATCAGATGGATACTACGTACGGATCAATATGAAAATTAAATGAAACTTCGTAATTCGATCGACGCTGAGATAGACTTCTGCAGTATTACTAACGAAGGTAACGAAAATAAGGCGATAAATAAAATAAAATTCAAATTCATTTCTCATAACTCCGCTTATCCTTAAACTTGGAGACATTTTTGGGGCAGCAAACTGTAAAGGAAATTAATTCATAATTAAGTGAAAGTGAGGTGAAAATAGCAGGTTCGCTTGATTTGTCCTCTGTGTAGTGTGAGTTACGTCCCCTGAAATGATGCATTTAAATGAACTTGAGAATTATTCCAAAGGTTATTCTCAACGGTTAGTCGCACATCATTCATATACAAGGAATTTAGATGAAAAAAAATAAGAAGAGATCACAAATTTGGATAACTGGAAACAAACTTTCAAAAGCATTTAAAAGACGCTAACTTTAATGACGATAGTAGAGAGCAGAACAGGAAGAGAAGTCGAGTGAGATGTGACAAGGACGAAACTACCTGCGGCATTTTACCGCAAAGATCGTTTGTGATTGTATTTTCTGACCTTTCGTTTCTTTCCTTCTTCCTTTTCTCTACCTTCTCAACAGCCATGACCTCATTAATCTCTACAATCCTCCAGCTCCTCTCCATCGTTAAATCCTCTTTTCCCTTCTTTCTACATTTAGAGTGACATTTAAAAATGACTGGGAGCCTTTTCCTTTCTTTCACGAAAGGTTGAAACCAACGGTAAGAGTTGATAAACTTTTTGATATGGCTGTGACTTATCGACACACTTCGATAATAAACACATGATAGTAAATCTGAATTGTAGTTCTTTTGACACCTCAGACTCTTTCAAAATTGGGAAAATTACATTAGCTTTGTCTGAGAAAAAAGAAGAAGGAATTGAATAAAGTCCGGACAGAGACGGGAAAGCTAAGGTAGGAATCTGAAAAGGAAAGACCTGACTAGAGTTCAGATTCAATACCAGTCATCGTTTGTGTGCGTAGGATGTAAGTTAGTAGTGTAAATAGAAGTAAAATGAACAGTGACACAAATATTAAGGATATCATCAGATATGGGTACTTCTATTCTGGAGCTGCATGCTATGGTTGATGCTGTCCGGGCTTCTGGCGTGCATTGTAGCGATGAGAGTAAGAGAAGAAGTAATCCAGTTTTTGTAATTGCTTCGGGGAATGACATCCAGTTCTGAATATTACTTGAATAATTATTATTGAAGTAATCAATAAAACGTCGAAATCTACCCACAAAAAGAACTCAGCAGCAATCAAAAAATGACATGCAATTATTGAATTGGTAAAAGTAATTGCTGTTATAAAGTTCACAGATAAAGGGAAGTATTTCCTGAAAATGAAATAACTAATTTTATTTCCATTCCTTATAGCAACTTGATTCATCAAATTTTGCTTATGGAAATTACAATTTTCAAAAAATGTGGAATGGAAAAAAATGAAATATTTTAGTTCCAAAATACAAACATACTAATATTGAAAAACATCCTTTTCTCTTCGATATCACTCAGACTGATTCACACTGATATCACTCAGATTGAATTTTAATAGAAAAAATTATTCAAATGTTATAATTACTGTGATTATAACTTGCAGCAATTAGAAGTCAACACAAGATGCGATGAGCAGTTATTGCATGTACAAGAAGATATTTTCTTCTACATAATCATTAGTACCTGATCAATTAAATCAGAACTGAATCAATCAAAACTGATTACATGACTCTGCATGTTAAGACTCTCTTCAAATATTCTTATTAACTTGGTTCTTCCAGTTCACCACTCTCAGACTCTTCTTCACAACATGACGATCTCGATTTATCAGTGGATGTTGACATTGATTAATTTGTGCACTTCTTTTCTGTCCTAACAATAAAATGCAATAATCGAAGATTAAAATTCTTATCAACAAAACCTGAATGCTGCAGCAATCAACATTTAACTTTAACGCGAGAATCATAGCAGCAATGAACGCGAGATGACAAGGAAGGAAGATGGAAATGACTTTGCGTGGACATAGTGGACACATTATGAGAAGACGAAGCTTCGGAAAAATATCGACAGGTGAGTTGATGATCACTCTAGATGAGTCAATAGCCTTCCCTTGTACTTTCAGCAGCAATAAAGATATTTGTCAAAACAATAATGGTTGCATATAATTGCTTTTTTTATCGACTTAAAAAATTCGATCGAACTGCTTTCAATTTGAGATTTTAGTGAATTTGACAAATAATAATTGGAATGATTCTCCTTTTTATTTTATTCATTTTACAATTAAAAACATTTCATTCACTGCTTTTAATTAAGAGAATAAAAGCGCTTTCATTTTTTAAAACTTATTCAAAAAACTCAAACGAATTTCTTTTCTGCAACTGTGACAGGATTCCATTGAGAACAGTAAGACCAGAATGATCGGAATCTTCGAATTATAAAGTTGGAGTTTGACGCATGACAACTGAAATAATTAAAATTTCTCGATATAAGGAATTTAAATTATTATCATCAGTTGGAATTATCTTCAGGTATTCCACCACCAACAACATAAGTTCAAACTTTTAACTGAAACCACCCTCCAGGTTACTGCAGCACCAATCTAGGTCCATAGCCTTTACCACAGAGATCATCATAACACTGCGGTTGTTCAAACAGGGAGAGCGGTAGGAAAATGATATAGTTTTACCAATGGTACTGAATTCAGAAATGATAGAGAAGGATCTGAGTTTCCTCAACCGTAGTTAGTGAATCCTCCTTCATCTGGCAGCAACTACTGAAGATCGCATTTTCTTTACAGCCCGGTGTTCTGCAGGAAGAGGATGTGCAGTAGTGGAAAACTTTGTTCTATGTGCAAGAAATTCAGAAGAGTATATTTTAGTCTGGTACCATTTTTTTCGATGAAAACGGTAATCGTAATAGGCTAATCGCAAATTTGATAATCCACTTTTGGTCACTTTTTACTTTCCCCAGCAAACAATCTTTAAGATTAGATGGATTTTAAACGGTGCTGGTCGTGTTCCGGCGGCAACACTAACGTCAGCTGCACAACATGTGACACTCACCTGAACAAAATCCCACGCAACACGTCAGTACTCCTCATATTGTTGCCCGAATGGTTGTGGGATTGGAAGTTTTCATACGAGACAGAGCTGCGGTAAGTTAAATTCAAGCACATTGTGGGGAAATGGTGAGGCTGTTTTCTATGTTATTTCTTTGTTTCAGATTTAATGGGATTCACATGAATGTGCGTGTTTTTGCATAAATAATGGGCAAATACGAGAAAGGAACACCGAAAGAAATTGCCAATCGATGTAAATCAAAGGGCTTGCAAAAACTGAGATGGTACAAAAATTCGTATTATTATATTGAATTTTTCGTATCAGCTAAAACGAATAGATCTTGCATTGCCTTAATTCATTAGTCCGCTTTGTAATATTTCAGGTTTTGCCAGATGTGCAAAAAGCAGTGTCGCGACCAGAACGGCTTCAAATGTCATTTAACGAGTGAAACTCATCAGCGACAGTTATTACTGTTTGCCGAAAACCCAAATACTTATCTGAAAGAATACAGCGAAGAGTTTGAAAATAACTTTTTGAAGGTAGCGCTTTACTGATTCTGCGCAAACTTTTATGCAACTTTTGAGTTATTGGAAAATTTTGAGACTTATCCGTTTATTTCTTTCTTTTTTCTTGCTCTTTTCATTGGTATAATCATAGTTGCACACGGTATATACGATTCTGGGATATTGGAGCTTTAGATTAACCAGCCTATATCTTCGTTTAAGTTTGCTGTGCTTGACATAGCTTAGCAGTTATTGTAATCGTCAAACATTTCTGTTCTTTTTTCATCAGTGTTGTAATGATGAATTAGTTTAGTTTGTTGAAGTTGTTGTTTTCTGGAAATTACGGAACAGAAGATGAGAAAGAGTGTAATAGGAAGGAAAAATGTTATTAAACGTTGATATATCTATTCCAGGTATTACGAAGCACTTTTGGTACGAAACGCGTTCGTGCCAATGAAGTTTATCAAGAATACATTCGTGATAAAATGCATACGCATATGAATTCAACAAAGTGGCATACTTTAACTAATTTTGTTATTTATCTTGGGAAATCTGGCAAATGTCACGTTGATCAGACAGAAAAAGGTTAATGCTTCATTTTTATGTGTGTTTGATTCTTTTGTGCATTTGGTACTGATTATGCACTCAATGTTTGCAGTATGTTGCAAATTAGTTCTAAAATGTCGCTTTGCTAGAGTTTCTCAATTCTTATTTCACTTGTTTTATATTGTTGCTTTTCTCAACAAGAAGTATGTTTTGTTGAACAATTCTTTTAGCCTTTTCAGTGAAGAAAACAAAAAAGAAATTATATTAATAGTCGTGCAGATGAATTTGAAATGATATTTCACGGCCTCAGTCCCTCCTATAGTTGTTTGAATAATTGCTTTCCCGTAAATATCATCTGGGATCTCAAAAATGGGCAGGATGATCCTTTAGGTTGGTTTATTGCATGGATTGATCAACAAGAAGAGCTGAGAAAGCAGGAAGCATTGCATAAGGTCAAAGCAATACATGATGATGAAGAACGATTACAACAGTTATTGGAAGAGCAGGCAGAAAGGTATCTATCTGTTACTAGGTAGCACTTGCAGAAATCTTGGGGAAGATTTGGAACTCTTGTTTTTTCTCAGTGAAGCTATATTCTCTATAATAAATCTAAATTTAAAAATTATCAAGTGGAAGAGCATGCCTTCAACTCTTAATTTTGCTGATAGAATCTATCAGTTTTTAAAGAGCTCGTGAAAAACGACAGCAATCATCAGATATGAGCAAGAACCATCCCACAGAATTACGTCGTGCCGGTGATGACTCAAAAGTTACCTTTTCTTTGACGACAAAGAAGCTAACTGATGAGGTGAGAGTTATTAAATTTCTGCTGTCATCTGCAAGATTGACTTTTTTCTTTTAATATAGTTTTTTTTCGGACTTCGGTGACGTGACTTTTAAGTTTTTATATTTTTTGAAGTGCACAGCCAGTCAAGTATGTAATGGCTCCGGGTGCCTGCTAACAGGTAGTACTTAATATTTTAATGTAAGTTTATAGGAACTGACTAGACCATGTACATCGGTTTTTGCGACGTCTTATTCTATATTTCATACCAAAATCAAAAGAGAAACAAAGCTTGAACTAGAATCTCTGGATAAATCTAAAAAGCATCAACAATGGGATAACTTGTTCAACGCAGCAACCTTGAAGAGAGAAATAAAAAGTTATTGTCGGAAAGAGCATGGTAATTAAATTAATTCAGTATTGTAATTAAAATTAAATATTAAATTTTCTTGCAACAGCTGCACGTACTTCTTGTTTCTTTTTTGTAAATTATAGTTGTAATATACTCGATCTATTATGTGGAGACGTTTCGGTGATACTGATCGATGTAAGTATTTGTTTCCTAAAAGTACTATTTAATAATTGGAGTCTGTTTTTAATAGATAGTTTCATGTTTCTGTTATATTTTATTGTCTACATTCTCTAGATGATTCGACTGTTGGGTCAAATAAAAGTCGGAGAGAAGATCTGAAGTCAAAAAGAAATGTTTTGGATGAAATTATGGAAATGGAAGAGCGTCGTAAGGAAAAACGGAATAGACGAGACAATTGGCTTCATGAAGGGATTATTGTAAAAGTGAGTTTTTTTCTACTTTATCTGAACAAATGGCATATCGTGAGGTTTGTATGAAGTCCTACTTCAGTACATCATGAATTGGTGGTTGAATAATGGTAATGGAAGTCTAATAGTACTCATCAATATAGCATAAACAGTGATTGGTATGATGTTGGTTATACGATGAACTTTTCCTCAAGACATTTTCGTATGAGTGTGATATATTTGTGGGATTAATGTTGTTGGAAATCTGGTTAATATTTTTCTTATACTTTTTTTTTCTTGCTTTTGGAATTCTAGATTATTACGAAGAAATTTGGCAATGATTTTTACAAAGCGAAAGGTGTGGTAAAACAATTAGTGGACGATTTCACCGCCATTCTGGATGTGAACGGTAGGCCTGTTTCTTCCGTCATGAATTTGCAACTTTCCGTTTTGCGAAATCCACGGTGAAAGATTTTTTTAATCGAGAACTTTAGAATGTATGCTATTTTCTCAAATTTTCATTGAGA